GATGGTTCCTTAATATATTTTAACTACATTGCATTTGAGTATGGAGAAGCAACTATCTGGAAGTATTTTACATAAAAAATTTACTAAGTATAGCCTGGTTTGTAGATGCAGTTAAAGAAAATACATCTTTTTAATTAAAAAAAAACTTAAATATTTCAAAAACGTTGACACTTTTACCTGAAAATTTTTGGTTTATCAGGGACCTCACCGTAGAAGCACTTGTTTCAGCCCCAACCATTTTCGTTGCACCATTTCCATTGCATCATTTCCGTTGCACTATTTCAGTGTGCAATTTCCGTTGAATTTGCCAATTTACTCCCTACCAACCAACCGTAGAATGTTCCACAAAAAGAAACGTCAAGTTGGAAGAATACTACTTATCTTTTTGGACTAAAATCTGAAAGGTATCAAAAATGCCAGAGCGTAAGCAAAATTCGCTCACTAAAAGAGAACAACAGGAAAAGTAAAGGAACGCAAAAAACCAAATTTTTAGTCCGAAGAATGGTAACAACAAAGCTAACGTCAAATAAGAATGGAAATGTATGTACAAAACACATTCACACAAGCACAATAAACACTTACTATATCAATTATTTTTTGCCTCCTTCCAATTTCAATTCACTTTTTTTACTTTTTAGATTATTCTCACTTTTGGCGTATTCTTTAATTTCCGTTAATTTAAATTTAGTTGAGTTTGACACTTTTCAGGATTTTGCCAGAAAAAATTCTTCTGACTAAATCTGACTACTTCGGACTGATGAGAGTGACTCTCACTGGGTGTTGCTCTCTCATTTTAGCTGTCATTTCCGAGTTAAGGAACGCTTTTTGGACTAAATCTGACTACTTCGGACTTTTTCTGACTATAGCCCTGTTCGCGTACGCACTATCCAGTAAATGCAGTACTAATTTTACTGGTTTTTTACTGGATGTCGTTTTCGTACGCAAAAACTTGCAAGTAACTAGCAAAAGAGGGAAAATTGTGAGAGCAAAAATGACAGCTGAACTTGCAAGTTTTACTAGATTTTTACTGGATAAATTTTTACTAACAACTATTTGCTAGTAAGAAAAACAGCTGATGGCATGATGCTTAATATTATTCACATTAATAAAATAATTGTTTGTGGTGCCTTTAGAGTTGCAATTGACAAAACAAACCTATTTAAATTTATAATAAGATGGAAAATACTAGTTTTCTAAGAAAATTGCATCGGAAAATAACAAATTAATCAGCTGTTCATAAAACTAGCAACTTCTTTCTGGTTTTGCGTTTTCGTACTTTCTTGCATATTTCACTCATTGGGAGTAAATATTGGCTTACTCTCCGAAATTTGGTTACTGGCAAGTTACTGGATATTTTTTGCTGGAGAATACGAAAACACAACTTATTTCTGGGAGATAAGGAACGCTCCTACTGCAAACAGCGAGAGAAAGAGAATGAGCGATGAACTTCAAAACGTTCTAGAGTTGCCATGAGTGCGAGCGCAGGTATATAAGGGCGCCAGACACCGGAGTGACTTACTGCCGTCCCTAAATTGGAGCGCTAAGCGTTGCGTTATCCATTGTCGACGAGTGTCAGCGCGCGCTATCCCCAAATCAACGCGTCGTAATTTTTGACGTTTTCTCAGATCCTCTCGTTTTTATTCTCGTTTCCTCTTTCACTTTTTTGTCCTTTCTCTTTCTTTCCGTCTTCCGCATCCAACTTCAACACGTAACGCCCTGTCAAAAATGAAAATTCCATTTGCTCGGCGTTAGCGCCGCGTTATTGTGGGATGCTTCATACAAATTGTATGGGCATGAGGATTTTTTGACAGTTGTTTGGCGCTTGACGCGCCAATTTAGGGATGGCAGTTAGTTACAAGTCAGCAAGCTACAAGTAGAGTGAGCAGAGAAGTGAGTTGCGAATAAGCAATCTATAAGTTTAATTGTGTTAACAAGTTTAGTGAAGCGTTGTTATTGCTTTAACAAGTATTGTAAAGTGTTTTTAGCGAGTATTGTAAATTCTTTGTTGTACAATAAAGTTAATTGTACTACAATTTGGTCATCGTTAGCATTTATTTAACAATCCAGAGATACGAACCGAAGCATATTTGGGAAATTCCTCGAGATTTCAAGGATAGTCGCATGAACCAAAAATACAAGATCACGTAAGAACGCGACGTTGTTTTTGTAACTGGTTTTGAGAAAAAAGTTTGCGGTTCGTCAGCTGAGCGTTTGTTTACATCACAAGCACCACTATTTCACATTTTTATTCAAGTAAAGAGGAGTTAATTCAACATGACAACACATTTTAAAGCATTTTTTTGCATCATTTTACCTAAATTGTGCGTTTAAAGTGGCTGACAACAATTTTGGCTAATTTTGGTTTTCGTTGTTTTCTTTGCTTTGTTTACTTTTCCCTCGTTTTCCAGTGAAACAAGATGGCGTAGAACCCGCTAAAAAAAAATCGACTTTTTTCACTCTCTTGTTCTTACGTGATCTTGTGTCTTTCGATCATGGGATAGTCGTAACAATAGCCCTGTTCGCGTACGCACTATCCAGTACTAATTTTACTGGTCTTTTACTGGATGTCGTTTTCGTATGCAAAATCTTGCAAGAAACTAGCCAAAGAGGGGAAATTGAGAGCAAAAATGACAGCTGAACTTGCAAGTTTTACTGGATAAATTTTTACTAGCAACTATTTGCTAGTAAGAAAAACAGCTGATGGCATGATGCTTATCGTAAATCACATTAAGAAAATAAATGTTTATGGTGCTTTTAGAGTTGCAATTGACAAAATAAACCTATTTAAATATATAATAAGATGGAAAACACTAGTTTTCTAAGAAAATTGCATCGAAAAATAACAAATTAATCAGCTGTTCACAAAACTAGCAACTTCTTGCTGGTTTTGCGTTTTCGTTCTTTCTTGCATATTTCATATTGGGAGTAAATATTGGTTTACTCTCCGAAATTTGGTTACTGGCAAGTTACTGGATATTTATTGCTGGAGAATACGAAAACACAACTAATAGGTGCAATCCCGTATTCCTCGGACTCGGACTAGTAAAACTGTCAAAAAATAAAAATTCGCTCAGAGCGAGAGAGTACCACTGAAAAGTACGGGATCGCTTTCTAGTAAAAAATTGTAACTTCTGTCAACTTCAACATAACCTCCAAATTTTGGTTGTAAATTTTTGCTTGGTTTGTATGTAAACACACTCAGCTCACATATGTAAATAACCAAAAATACCCTCAAATTCATTAGAATCCACTTAAACAAGTAATTAAATACTTTTCAACATGAATTAGCAGAGTGCACTTTTCTTTTGTTTACAATTTGGTTGCCAAACACACTACAGCTGATCGTTTGACACATTTACCAGAAATTACCAGCAAAAAATTCTCGGACTAAAACTGGTAACTTCTGACAGAGAGAGAACCGTATTTACTCTCTTTTTTGTCCTCTCAATAGTCAGAGACCCGAGTACGGGATCGATTTCCAGTAAAATCTGACTGATTCTGACTATTTCTGACTAGTCCGGACTCGTACGGGATCGCAAATAATATGTATGCGAGCCTACAATCGATAGTTTGTTTCCGATATGGTCAGCCGTTTTTTGCAGGATGTTGTGCCAAAATTAAAAAAAAATTGATAAATCGATCTCAGAATCGATGTTTTTTTACTTTTATCATGGAATCATAGCTATTGGCAACTCCTCCAATCAGCTGATTCTCAAAATGTCAGGTACATAATAAACACTACAATCCCATGACAGCAATAAACAAATATTTAATACAAGTATGAACGTATCAAAATGTTTTCCAACAATCGCACAAATACCTAGTTTCAAACATGTAACAATGCGCGCTCAGCAACAATACTATGCTATCAGGAACCTATCCGCCTGGATAGACTGCACTTATTTAAGCCGGCACCATCAATTGTCGTGTAGGTATGTGGGGTTGGGGCTCGGTTTAGCTCGTATCAAGGCACATGAAATATGCCTTGGCTCATATACATACATATATATGTACATAAAACAAGTCGAGTTTTAAACAAACCCATTTAATTACTTTGCAGTAGTATACCAAAGGCAGTGCAAGCGGGCAGATTTGTAAGCTATAGACAATACTCAACAGTGATTGCGCAGAAACAAGTAGCAGCAAAGAAAAAAATGGTAAGTAAATTGTCTCGATAATAAATCTAAAAAGATAAGAGGTACAAAAACACTTGTTACACACACATATTTCGAAAAATTATGGATGTGACTGGATGTGACTATTATTTAAAAAAAGATACATCGCTTTTAGTAATCTTTATCTGTCATGAATCTCGAGGTCACTTTAAAGAGCAACAGTGATTAATAAAGTGAAAGTCTATATACACAATTTTCATGGCCTTTAAGAAGTAATAAGTACTTACATATGTATGTATATACACATATTTTTTTAATTCGTCGAAAAAAGTAAAATTGTCTTCAAGCACCTATTTGATTATTGATTGATATTTGCCTTGTTTGCCCTAAAGTTCAATCTCCGTTTAAAAATTAAATATTCAAACATTTAATTATCTGTCCTCTACATTGCGAGTCCCAAAATAGAATTTCTATCGTACAATCATTAACAAGTTTTTCAATAAATAATATCCCTCATTACTAACATGTTTTAATATTTACATATAATGCTCTATATTCAGACTAAACTCACCGAACAAGAACGATCAGAACTACTTCAACCTCTTCTGGATGCTGGCTGGTCCCTGGTGAATGGTCGTGACGCCATTTACAAAGAATATTTATTTAAGGATTTTAATGCTGCTTTCAGTTTTATGTCCGGTGTTGCACTGCTTGCCGAAAAACTGAACCACCACCCGGAGTGGTTCAACGTATACAATAAGGTGCAAGTCACAATGTCTACACATGATGTTGGTGGTCTTAGTGCGAAAGACATTCGCGTCGCAAAATATATGGAGGAACAGGCCAAACGCCTAATTTAATTTAGTAATGAAATATATATTGTAGAATTTTGTTAATTATTCAGAGTTGTAGAATAAAGGAGAAATGTAAACTTAAGCCAACTTTGTACATCGTCATCGTAATTAGTCAAGATGTTTTATATACACTTGCTCAGAATCTCATATTCTGCTTTCTCCAATATGTCAGGCGACGTCTCATCCAAACCGTAGCCAATAGCTTTAAAGAATGCCGTAGCATTGGTATTGTTTTTCAGTACCGTTAACACAACTTTGTCCATATGCCAGTGTCGAGCACACTGTTCCAGTGCATTCATCATAAATTTGCCAAGTCCTTGACGCTGAGAGCTGCTTTCTATCTGCATTTCGTAGCTGAAATGAAATATGTGCTACATTTAATAAATCCCCGATTTTACTAAACACGTATGCTCACCAGTAAAGCACGCTATGGCCGTAGTCCATATCAAAACGAAACATGGTATATGCCACCGATTCTCCACTCTTGTCTGTTGCTACTAAATAACGTGCCCACTTTTTATTCAAGTCATTTTGTTTTACCTTTGGCTGCCACCCCATTTCCAAAGCTTTATAAAACGGGCTCACATTCCGCTCCGCCAACTTAAATGCCCATTTTAATGTTTTTGCGTCCATGTCCCCTTTTGCCCGGCAATATAGTTTGTATTCTGCGCCATTCTTTGCGGTGAAATGGGACGTGTCTGGCACAGACTCCAAAGGGTTCTTAGCCCGAGCTGCATTTTCAACGTTTCTCTGTTGATTAGTCGTAGAATTTGCGTTCGTCATCTTTTTTTTCAATTATTTTTCTGTAATACAAACGAATATTTAAAATATTATATATAAATGCCGGTAAACTTGCGATTTTTACACTTTCTTTTCACAGATGCTATTTGCTTAAAAAGTTTTGACCAATTGAGCGGGAAGACAGAGGTGAAATCTAGCGTTGCCATCTCGAGTAAACTAATGCCGAATATTCGAGTATATACATATATCCCATAAATACCCACATCTCAAGATAACCGCAGAACTCCACAGGCAAACACCGACGGCCTAACAACTGTCATTTTGACGAGCAATATGATTGTAAGTTTTTGTGTGTGGGCACTTTGACGTCTTGAAATAGGCATTTGCCGCATGACGCCACCAGACAACATTCTCTAAATTTCGGTGTTTAAAACCATTTAAATCTTAAAAAACTTGCTGAATAATTTCCTAAAACGTAATCATAAATAATCCAATAGGGTACAGATTTTTATTTTGATATAATGGCTGTATTTCTTTATTCATTCTGAACGTTTGAAATAAACTTTTTTGTTTACTTATTCTTTAGAACGTTCCTGATGATATGTTAACGTATATTTCAAACGCATTCTGTTTATTCTGGCTGTGAAATGGGATTATCCGGAATGTATAAAGAAACGCAGCTAATATTAAAATTTCATCGATGTTACCACCAGCACGCTTTCTTTGAAATGAAAATATGGCTGTCAAACTATCAAATTGCCCATGAACGAAAGACACAAGATCACGTAAGAACAAGAGAGTGAAAAAAGTCGATTTTTTTTAGCGGGTTCTACGCCATCTTGTTTCACTGGAAAACGAGGGAAAAGTAAACAAAGCAAAGAAAACAACGAAAACCAAAATTAGCCAAAATTGTTGTCAGCCACTTTAAACGCACAATTTAGGTAAAATGATGCAACAAAATGCTTTAAAATGTGTTGTCATGTTGAATTAACTCTTCTTTACTTGAAATAAAGTGTAAAATGGTGGTGCTTGTGATGTAAACAAACGCTCAGCTGACGAACCCGCTTTCGCAAACTTTTTTCTCAAAACCAGTTACAAATACATCGTCGCGTTCTTACGTGATCTTGTTGTTGTTGTTGTTGTTGTAGCAGCATACAAGTTCCCCATAGAGTTTTGGGGAGTGTTGCTGGAGTGACAGTCCTTGGCCAGATATAAATCTGGGTCGTTCCGGTTACGTAGACCCGACTGTCGTGGGAACGTGATCTTGTATTTTTGGTTCATGAAATTGCCTGCAATAGATGTCCAGCAATAAGTCCCCTTTCAGACACGTCAAGTCTTGCTTTCAAGTCTGCTCGTTCGTTGGCGAAGGAGGCGGGAAGAGTGGGGAAGAGTACAGATACCTCCGTACCATGAACCAACGACTACAGATCACCTAATCAGCCATCGTTGTATTTGTAATCGATTTTCAGAAAAAAGTTTTCGTAGCGTTTTTGACGTTTTTCGGGTTTGTTTACATCGTCTTCTACCTCTTCGTAGTGATTTTTTAGCGATTGAATGTGTTTTCTGCAGCGATTTTAATTATAAATTTTGGTTTATTACATATTTATGATATAAAATAAAGTGCTGTGTGGTCGGAACAAGTTTCTGCGTATGTTTGGTTTGCCAAAAGGCGTAAATTTGCGTGAAAAGTGGGTGCACGTTTGTGGCCAGAACGGTGGCATTGAAAAATCGACCCTTGGTAATGATATGCGATTGTAAAACACTTTCAATCATGAAAACCATATTTTATGAACTTTTTTTGCTAATTGTCATCAAGTTTCACTTTGTATATTTTATAATAAATACCAATTTAATCGCACTCAATCACCGCGCCTTTTTCGTTTTCTTTGTTTGTTTTCATTCTTAGGCAGATGTCAAAAACACTCAGAAATATACTTTTTTCTTGCTTCTTTGATTAGGTGATCTTGTATTTTTGGTTCATGCCTCCGTACCGTCAATTCGTTTCAAGTTTTCTTGTCTCTTTTGATCTTTTCGTTGCTTCCCATTTAAGAACCAAGGACTTGTGGAAGCAAATAGAAAACACAAAAGAGAATGCGTAAAAAATTGCTTTCAAGACTTGACGTGTCTGAAAGCGGACTAAGCGTTGACATATATATATATTGCAGCCCATGAAAAAAAGGCGGTATCCATTGGAAATATATTTTGTGACATGGTTATCACGACATCAGTCTTTTCCTATGGAGCTCAGTATATCTACTATATATATATACTATATACTGAGCTATGGAGACAAGGCCTAATTAAGCTTTGGTTTCCTCTAAAAGCGTTGCCGTAAAGTTACGACTGCTATTTTACGTTACCGCTTTTGAGGGTCTGTAGGTGTTTTGTTATTTTTTTTTTAATAAAAATATAGTTCATTCTTTAACAAAACCCGTGGATCTCCATGTTTCCAAATTTGAGTAGTCCACTTGCAAGGCGCTATGTAAATTTTTTTTAACTTAGTTTTTGGTGAGTAACGTACCAGTATTTAAAGTAGTTTCATGTCCACTAACAATACAGTGCAAAATCTTTCTATTTTCTGAAAAAAATAGCATCAAATGTTAACTACTATTGCAAAAATCGCTATAATACTTTTGTATGTATTTATACACTTTCAAAAGTCTCCACCATCTGATGAACTTAGAAAACTGCAAGAAAACGTGGTAGTTGCGGTGCCTAGTGGAAGGCGTCGTAAAAAAGAAGCAGACCAATCTTCATGGAAGAGCGAACGCGAAAAATTAAAAAAAGATAGCTGGGTAAAAGTTACTGTTAAAAAACTCGATATATTCAATTTTTATATATAAAATTTGCAAAAACTACCACACTGTGATATTGTTTTTCAATGTTATTAGGCTCTTGTTTATCTAAATTTTCAGATAATAAAGATAAATATACAATTTGGATGTTACTTGTTGTTGTAAACGTTTTTTTTTATTTATGGCTCACCATTATAAAATCACATAACGCTATTTGAAAGTGGGCTACTCATTTGTGCAATATTAAAAGAAAATCAACAAACTTTCGTACAAATTTCGAACTTTTAATAAATTCTAAAAAATCAATCGACATTTTTACCCACTTGAAACGTGTACTTTATTCTACAAAACTGCATACTCAGAATTTAATTAAAAAACTCGAAATTTTAACGATATTTGTAATTTTTTTTTTTGCAAAAATTTTTGAGGCAGTGTCACTCGATTGGTACATTTGTACAGATTTGTAAATTTTTATATTAGGCTATTGGTAAAAAAATGGGAAATTTCTTTTTTGTAGTCAAAAGATGGGTATAATGCTGCGATGTTCTATTGATTTTCACCGAATTTCGGCAAATACCCATTCGTGTGACACTGCCTTTAAACTTGTATTTATATGTTGGTAAAGAACGAACTATAAAAAACTAAACGAAATTAAATAACAACAAAAATAATATTTTAAAACTTGTCAAAATTTGGTGCGGCTATAATTTTTTCGTCTATTGTACATAAGTTGGCTATGATAGTAGCACAATGCCACTCATATTTGACTTACAAACAAAATACGGGCAGGAATTTCATGATCTCAACCCTGTTTTTATGAAAAATTTTATTTTTATCAGTATTTTTCTTTTAATCAAAATATGTTGAAACAAAAGTGAAACTAGAAAAAATTTTGCCAGAACCCCCCCTCGACCATAGCTACAACGTACACTAGGTTTTGTTTCGGGTGTATTTAATGACTTTTTGTAGCACCGTGTTATTGAATCATGTTTATGTTCTTAATAAAGAAATAATGAATAAACGTTGAATAATTTTGGCTAGCAACTAGTTATAGTGTCTGAAGAAGTTTATTGTCATATATAAAACTTTTGAATAAGATTTATTTTAGCTCTATAACGCTGTAATTCGATTAAGGTGCTGCATTTTGTGACTTTTAGATAGACGAATACAAAATCTATTCAACAAAGTGTGATTGAATTTGACATTGATCTAAAAAGAAGCATCCTATAAAGTCTAATTGAAAAAATTTTGTATGAATTTCGAATCGCTTGTTTATATTTTTTGGCATAATAGTACCTTAAAAAAAAGAGCATACCTGAGTTGTCAATCACACCTTGTTTAATACACCTTCGACGAATATTGATAATTTTTGTATCAATAAACTACATTAAGGAGAAATAGCAATTCATTATACATGCATACATATAAATAGTTACATATGTTTGATATTGGCCGTTTATTATATTTTAATAATATATTTTTGGGCTCCAGGCCGAGTATTAAATAAAATATGTATAACACTTTTGCTGTGTCAATATTTGTGGCGAAATATCGACAGAAGCAAAAGTAAATAAAGCAGTAAAAGTGTAATGTTTTACGTGGCCTATAGCAAAACATATAAATAATAGGTTAAATATTAATTTCATATTTCGGTTTAAATTATACAATTCTCTTAAACAGATATATGTATATGTATAACAATTTTCATGATAAAAAATAAAAATGTAATGTTTTTAGGATGATACATTTTATTACCTCCGAGTATTGTCTTCTTTTAATTTGCCAACTACTTTCATAGGAAATATCCAATCAAGATATAAATATTTAAGTGACACTCAAACAGACGCGGTATTGGAAGTGCGGTACAAGGCGGCACATAGTATAGTTATGAACCGCCTTGTACCACACTTCCAATACCGCGCATGTGTGAGAGTGACTCTTTATTTACGTTATTAATTCCTTATCTAAAACTTGGACTAATATAAGAAGTGGAAACAAATAACAATAAAATGCAATCAACAGGTGTTTGCTCAACGCTTTTCATAAACATCTACGGGTGTTCATAGACCTAATCTCATACTCATTACGGATCTTCGAAGATATTCCGAAATACCGATGGAATCTCATTAAGCATATCGCTAGCCAACATACTGCGACCCAATTTTTGATAACCGGCAGCATTGCATTTCTTGACCAAATAACACGCGGCGAACGTAGCTACAAATGCCGCATTTGCTTGATTAGATTCTAAAGCCCAATGGAAAAATGTAGCAATAGAGCCGCATAGTAAATCCCCTTGACCACCACAACGACGTCCAGAACCTCCAGCCGGTAAAGTATAGATTTCAGATGTGCTTGGTATATAGATCTTATCGTGCGGTCCCTTTTCAAGTACAATCACACCATCTCCCAGTTGTGCCATACGCTGTTTCATGACCTCCACATCTTCAGTGAAGAGACGACGAAATTCGACTTTGTTTGGCGTCAAGATGACGTTACATAATCCGTTTACTAAATCGATATTTTCATTGAGTATAAATAAACCATCCGCATCGATGACTAGTGGTTTGTTAAGCTCTTTACATAGTTTGATAAGGCGTATAGCAGTCTTTTGTATCTTTGGGTCACGTCCTAGTCCAGGTCCAATCACCAATACATGGAGGCGCTCCATCCACGGCGTTATTTGCTCCACTGCATCATCTGCATCTAGCAAAGGGTGTACGATTAATTCTGGACTGTAAGATTTAATGACAACCGCTGCATCTCGCTGGCAAAATACATGAGCCAGGTCGGCACCTACACGCATAGCGCTTATGGCTGAGAAATATGGTGCACCCGTATACTCCAGCGAACCCCCGATGACACCAATACGTCCAGCTTGACCTTTGTGACGTTGATTGACGCCATCTGTGGCATTCAATGTTGGCACTACTGTGGAACGCGTTAGCTTCAGCAGCTTTTCAGCCTGTACAGGTATTTCTATGAACTTGGACATTTTATAACTATAAGCCGTTCTGTGAATATAGCTGGCACCAAGCCAATTACCGATAATCTTCTGATGCGAATGAGTAAATAAATAATAACTCAGCTTGGTCACGTTGCCAATCGGCTTTGTCAAGTTCATTTCTATGTTTTCCCGTTTGTTAGGCTCCTTGATTTCATTGCTGTCAAACAGAGAACGTTAAATACAGAAAAGCTGCTATCACAAATAGTCGTGTGAATTGTCAAAAACTATGAAAATTACTCTAGAATTTCACCACTCGAATCGAAAATTGAGAGCGGCAAGTTAACATAGCTTAGCAGAGATACAATTTTGTTAATTTGTATCAATCAAGGCGAATTAATATAAGGTGATAGCAGGAGTACAAAAACAAAAATGTACATGTATTTTGTTTTTGCTTTGGCGGCATAAAATGTCAAAATCTGTAAAGGCGCTGGCCCAATGCAGGCTTGCTTTACACGCCTTACTTACTTTAATTTGCTTTGATTTACTTCAAAAACTCGTTTGGCCAAATGACGGCTTGGAACGCTGTCAAAGCTACCAGCTGTGTAGTTAAAAAATTAAGGTCTGTTCCCTTACACTATGAATAATTTTCCCACAAAATTCCAGAAAACTAAAAAAAAATACAAACAATCTTTTCAGATTTATTTTCAATTGATGCGAATTTGAATGCATTTCAAAGGAATGATAATAATTATACATATATAACTATAGGTACATTTATTAAAAACAAAAAAAAATGCAATTCTTCAAGAGACGACTGACCAGTAGTTTGACATCATAAATATCGCTAGCTAGCAAGAGAAATTAAGGATTAATGTACTTGTTTTATTTTTTCTTATTTATATTCAATGAAAGGCAAATTTTCTAAGTCCAGAAGAGGCCCCGAAAATCCGATAAGGCCAAAATAATACGAAATCTTTTAATAAAGACCGAATCCTTTTGATTCGTATGGAGTTTTGCTTTGCTTTAAACACGCAAAATGTATTCAAAGTTCCTGTAAAATTTGTAAAAATGGACTTAGCAACTTTTCAGCCAGCGATATGTTAAATATAAATATGGAAACATATAACCATTTTTATTAAACTTTGAATATATAATATAAATTTTTTTTAATTACGTAAAAAAAATTGTGTACATAAAAGTGTGCAGCAGTTTGTTTGAATTGATTTAGAACTGGAACATACCTTTTTGTCAAAAGCCTACGAAACGCTTTCAAATAAAACATTTGCCTATTTGAAACTTTGAGGCGCTTAAAGCAAGTGAAGCAAAGCTGCCATTTGGCCAGCCTTCATACATTTTAGTATATTCCAAATAACTTTTGACAGTTCCCAAAGCGAGGCAAGCAAAGCAAGCCTGCATTGGGCCAATACCTTTACACATTGAGATGTTAGCTTACTATCAATATGGAAGTATTACATATATGCCGAAATTTGGTTACTGGCAAGTTACTGGATATTTTTTTGCTGGAGATTACGAAAACACAACTATTGAAAAGAATTAAAACGATAGAAAATAACCAAACACAAGCAATCAAAATGAAATAAAGCCAGCAAACGCGACACCAGAAACAAGTGAATATTTTGACAGCTAAAATGAGCGTTCGCGTCAGAAACGCGCCAAAAACGAAACATATTCACTCACATTCACTGACAGTCACTAAAGTGAGTGAACGCTCTTATATAATACGAATTTTGTTTCACATGAGTAAAAGTGACTCGTTGCGCCGCGTTGCGTTTTCTATAATAAGGGCCGGTTACTCAATGTCTGGTTAACACTAATCTCCAGTTAAACATAGTTATCGACGTTACGGACTACCTGTTGTATGCATGGAGTCGAATACGTCGATAAATATGTTTAACCGTAGATTAGGGTTAACCAGACATTGAGTAACCGGCCCTACGACTCCATGCATACAACAGGGAGTCGGTAACGTCGATAACTATGTTTAACCGGGGATTAGTGTTAACCAGACCGGCCCTTAGTTATGGTTATTTATCACTTTTAGGGCCGGTTACTCAATGTCTGTTGTATGCATGGAGTCGAAGACGTCGATAACGATGTTTAACCGCAGAGTTGAGAAGCAGCCATTTGTAATAGCAATTGAGAAAAAAGCGTGTGACGTTCGTAATTTTGAAGCTTGCTATTTCTGTTTTGCTTCTTTCTTTATGTGTATTTTGTTGGTGGTGTATTTTAGTGATTTTTAAGCGATTTTCAATAATTTTTTTTTGCAAATGTAATTAAAATGAAGTGTTCGGTGATTGGTGGCAAAAAAACGTGCAAAATAATAATTTGGTTAGCACAAACATTTGCTGCAAAATTGCTTACATTTTCTCTTTATGCTTCGTCTTCATATTCTTTGTTAATTTTTCAAAGAAAATAACATGGCGCCGAAATTACAAACGTCAGCCAGTAAATTACTTTTTTATTTTGCTTCATCTTGTCAGATCTTGTGTAGTTGGATCATGATAAACTCCCATAAAATCGATTTTATGGCTCAATGAGAACGTAATATTATGGGCGAACTATCGATGTTTCGCAAACATCGATGCATCTTTTATTTCCAAACTGCATGTAATGGCAATATATTCGCAATTTGCTTGATTTGTTACATTTCTAATGTTTAGTTGAAAGTATAAAGGTAAAATATTAAAAGATGTTGAAGCAGCATGTTCTGGTGGAGTTAAAGCAATTCGTTCAGGCAGTAACGAGTCATCGGGGCAATCAAAAGAAGCTCACAAACACCTCACTGCTGCGCAGCAGTTTTCATCTGCTCGAGGACTTGCCGGCAGCTCGCGAAATTATATTCGAGTATTTCTCGTTAGTAGCAGAAGTGGCCGTGCAAAATTATGTAGCCAATGCGAATGTGGACTACGCCACTGGATTGCCAATAAGGCAAGGCAAACAAGGTGGGGGTGGATCCAGCTCAACAAGTAATGTTCCCACTCAGCCGACGGTCATTGAGGATAGTAGCTGGTCAGCAGTGCAAGAGGCCTTGGAAAATTTGGTTGTCAAAGGTCCTTCAGCTTGGGGTCCAGTAATTGCTTCGTGGAGTCTCGATTTGGTGGGGAAATTATCAGACAAATATACGAAAAGGAAAATGTCCATTGTAGCGGCTTGCAATTATTGGCTGAACTGCGGCGCAATGCGTGGTCTACTTACATTAATTAGTTTAAGTTTCCGTAAACTTAGCAATACCGAAAAAGAGTCATGCGTAGAGACTCTCCTAGGTTTGTTTATTAAAATGTTCCGAATGCTGTAGATTTCTTTTAATACAACTATTTTTAATTTCAGCTGCCTTTCAGCGCTACTCACTTAGTTTTGACTGGGTAGTAGCGCGCCTTGGTGGCTGCTTTCCCCTAAGCATTATATCGCAAATATTGCAGTGTAGCCTAAAACGGTTCGCTGAAGATTATCGTTGCCGCTTTGATTCTGAGTTGGGCATCTTGGACTATTTATCCTTTGCCCACGAGCAAGAGTTAAAGCAAGCTTTGACGGATCTCCTAAAAGATGGCTTTAATCCAAAGAAAACTTTGGATGCATGTATAATACCATTTCTATTGGTTATGGCAACTTTTGCGGATGCTTTGTTGCAGAACCTAGTTGTTGTATTTCTCGAAATGTGTATGTATTTTGAAGAAAATTGTTTTTATTAAATTTAAACACCCACTGCTACTTTAGATAACGATGATCTACGCCAAACTATAATACAAAAGTCACCCCTTTGGATGAGCAACAAGATGTTTGCGGAAATGCAGCCTTCACTTAATAGTTTGGCTTTGCGTTTGAAGTCGAATGGTGCACAAGTGCTCATTGCTGTATCACAAATGGCTGAACAATTTGCTTGGTGCCAAGATTTTCTAGAATACACAATGCAGGACTTAGAGCAAGTTGTTCTAAATGCTACGGTGTGCCCGCTAATGAATGATTTGGCTACCGAAGAGTCGAAATATTTACTCTGGAAGAGTTGCTTAAACGCTAACATTTTTCAACAGCAAACGGCAGTGCGATTACTATTGATTGTTTGTAAGTTATTTTCATATTTTATTACCTTCTGTGAACATCATATCAGCTGCTTCGCTTTTAGCCACACAACATTCACACATTTACTACCAGACAATCTCGGAGCTATTACGAAAATCCTATTTGGCCAATCCTAATGGCTTGGGTGCGATAATTCGTATTATCGGTGGACAAAGTGGCGTGGTGGAATTTCCAAGCATTAAACCCGGACTGCAAATGGTGCTGGAAGCTGTGTTGCTCCAGGAACAATTTAAACACACACGTTTGGCAAATGAAAATCAATCAGAAGCACTGAACACATTCAAAAACCTCAATATGCTAACCAAGTGAGTATTTATTTTTTCGGGTTCTAAATTAAAATGTAGAATATTGTGTGTTGCATGCTTCCCAGAATGCAAAAAAGGCATACATTCCAGTATATGAAGCAAAGCTTGCTGCCTAATGTGCTCAACGATTGCCTACCAAAAATTTTACAAATTCTAGAGGTTACTGTAACTAAAGTCATCCTACGTATGAATAAATTAGAAGAAGAGGTAGGACAAAATAGCAATAAACAAAATAACGAGTTTAATAGTGAAAGAAAAAAGAAAAAAACCATTGCTGCGGATGTCGGCGCGGAAGCAATGGATGTAGACAATGCCGAAAATGATACGAAAGTTATAATCGGAATACCACTTTTCGATACCGACGATGGCGAAGAAGAAGAAACGGATACAAAGCGGCGCATTTTAGCGCATACCATCATCGATTTGCTCAATACAATTGAAGCTGGATTAAAAGGCACAGTTATGCGTACCACAGAGGTAGAAATATACGCCTTTCCGGTGATATTACCTAGTACTAATTAAGCCTTTTCCGTACAGGTGTTGAAACTGTCAATATTAAGCGTTAGATATTTCTTTTTGGCACTCACTGAGAAAAGTAAATATCCTGTTTCTATCTAGTTTATAAAATTATTTAAAATAATTAATTTGCCATTTTTGTGTGTACATTTCAAAGGCCATATATCCCGCTCGGCAGCAGTGAACCGAGCCTACTTGTTGCTAGCCCGCCAATGTTCTGCACGGAAAGCTGCACGCAGCGCTTGCATACGCGAGTTAGTTGAAGGAGCACTCTTCTATTATGGCTACCTATTTGGTCAATACGAAGAGCCAGAGGCGAACCAACTTGATATACCCGAACATGAAATGGTATTGCTTCAAAATCAACGTCACAGCTTAGGTCCAAATGCCAATCGTACAGTTTTGCATGCCGGAGTTATTGGTCGAGGATTGCGCTCTGATTGCATAGCAAAAGATCAGAAAGGTTGCCCAGCTGAAACACAAACGCTGCTACTCAAAGCGCTGGATGCTTGTTGCACAGTAGCGGACAAACAAAATTCTGTTGAAGGTTATTCGATGATATCACTAATGCTTGTCGAAATGGTCTCAACGGATGTTATGTACAATGGCCTGCCGTTCCCCGATGAAGAATTCACGAAAGTGACAATGGAGCGCGATTTAATGATAAGACGTGCCTTTAGCACATCCCCTGTGCTATGGGCATTGCTGGGCTTCATAGCAGCACATCGGCCGGCGCTATGCTTCTCGTCGGTACTCTTGCGTGCAATGTGCGCCACTTGCTTGCACCAATGGCGCGCCAAAAATGGTAATGCAGCAAATGTGTTTTAGATTTCTACTAACTACTAATGTTTATTGCAGTTAACAAATTCCAGCCATTCGATCCCAATGACGAACTAATGCATTGCACTAAGAAACTGTTGCAATTGTTGGCGATGGGACAGTTGCTACCGCCACCGCTTTCCAATTTGCATGTAATAATTAAACATTTTGAACCACCGGAGGTGAAGATAGGCTTTTGAAGCAATTATTTGCGTTGTTTACTTGAGGTTTCCTTATTCACAGATTGCTTTGCTGCTAAAAGAGTGTGTTTGGAACTACCTTAAAGATCACGTTCCCTCACCAGCGCTGTTTCATGTTGATAACAATGATTTGCATTGGCGCAACCCGCATATGTCGAGGACTCCTCCACAATATGTGGACACGTTACGCAATTTAATGCAGAAAAAACTAACTAAACTTGGACAGCATTATTACCAAATGTTCATTATGCCCGAATTGAATGATTCGGATACTACTCAAGCCAACTTAGCGGAATCAGCAATGAGTAAAGGAGAGGTAGAAATTATTAAGGCGTGATTGAATATTCTGCTTGTTATTCAAAATACAGCTTTAAAAGTAATTTTATCGGGACAATCCCAAATCAAGCGAAAAACTTCACTTTTCATTTACAACAATTTATTTATTTATATTTTTCAAGTGTTAAAAATGTGGAAAAAAAATTATTTTTCCTGTCTAGGCATTTGGTTTACACCATTCACATAATCCATAATAAATAAGATTTTTAATTTTTCAGTTAAAACAAAAACGAAGACAGTGTATTTAATTTTTGTATTGTCGGTAGGAAATGTATGCATTTAACGTTTATTTACAGGCATTTTATGTGTGTAAATTTAAATTGTCATTTATATGTATGTATTCTCAAAAATGGATTTTTTCTTGTATAATTTATAAGTTTCAAAAATGTTTTACAATGTGTGAGATTGAATTTGCGATTGCACATGTTATTGGCGTACAAAACAACCTTATTTAACGATATAATCAACTTACGTCAGATTGATAAGTTGAGTTTTGGCATTTCGTACTTATTCTATGCATGTTTGCATTTCCAAATATTATACGCACTTGTTATATTTTTGATGATAAACAAAATTTTGATTGATTCACTTAATTTGCACATCTTTTACTGTTTTACATGCGAGACAGTAGAAGAAAAATAACAAAAGGAGGTAAGGAGTATATTTCAAATAAGATATTAAATAAAATTTATGTACTAACTAAAAATTATGCAACAAAAATTCAAACGCGAATAATACAGTAAAATCAAAAACTCTTTTTTTTTAGTAATAGATTCTAGCGAAACAACGCAGATTAATAAAGTACTCCAAATTAAAGATAAGTAGTATTCTATAAATTATGTTGGAGTGTGGCTTGCATTTGGCAGCGAGAGAACTAGCTAATACTTATTCCCCTCACCTCGGCAAGCTGCACTAATAAGGCTAACTGACTTGACATTTAACCGCGAATGAATTGTTTAGAGTTGAAACTTCTCAATTTTCATATGCAATAATTAAACTACGTAACTCCAATGACTACGTGTACTGCGCATGGGCGCCTACTCTTGTGACAATCACCTCCACTCATTAAGATGGTCGGCAATTTGAGAGCTTTTTTACAGATATACAAGATGTCAGTTTTTTGGCGCGCCTTTTCAATGACGAGGACTTTTTTTCCTTATTGATGCTGTTCGATATTGACGCACCTGCACTTGTTGAAGCACCCGTTGAATTTGCAGCCGCAAACTGTTTTTGTTGCTGTTGTGCTTTGATTTCAGCGGCTGCTGCAGCTGCTTGGCGAGCAAGCTCACCTAGAAGATTAAAACATAAATGTGCATAAATTTGTTTCAATACCTATAGGCATAGTGCGTACTCACGATTCAGATCATGTTCAGTAAAATAGACCTCTTCTAAATCACGTTCGGTTTCATAGTGGTAAGCATCTAAATAAGGCAGTACCGTGGAGCGGCGATATATATCATGTTTAAGTGGCGGAATGGGTATCGGTGGACCCTTTTCTTCTGGTGCCGATATGAACCAACTATATGAATGTACACACAAAAAAAAAAATTTATGGTGCAACTGTGGACATATCTTGTATACTTACGGATCGCAGCGTATTTGTTGTATAGTGTATCGTTTAGCTGGGTCAGCCTGCAGCATACCCAATATAAGTCCGGCTAACTGTGCGTTTAACTTGAACAACCAATCTGGCGCCTGCCACTGCCCGCGTCCAATATTCTCAAAGAGCCTATAAATGTTATCGCCTTCGAAAGGATATTGACCTGTACATATGTTATAGCTAGCCGAGATTAAAGAAGAAAAACTTAGTTTCGGACCCATAATAAAAATGTAATGCACTTACAGCGTAATACCACAGCTCCAAATGTCTACCTTGGTGCCGGAGAAAGACTCGTGTCCATTGGCAATTTCTGGCGGTTGAAAAGCAGGCGATCCCTGACCGGTCGTGCATGTATCGTCCATCGCAAATAGGTCTAACTGCTCAGCAACCCCAAAATCAGAAATTTTCAGTATTTGTTCAAGGGAGAGCAGCAGATTTCCAGGCTTTATATCTTTGTGTATAATGCGACAACCATGAAGATACTCTAAGCCGCTGATTAGTTGGCAGAAGTAGCGATGTGCCTGGAACAGAGGTAGTTTCTTTTCGGGTGCGCTTTCAACCAGTTCCTAGAAAAAAGTAATTATTAAGTATAAATTTTAAACTCAAGAGCATGATATTGTTGTATGATATATTTAAATTCTGCTATACTGTATATACATGCCGCTCATTTACTTCAATAGTGTCATAATAAAAAAATAAAATAAATTTGGAGTTGGGTATGTAGAAATTATCGCTGCCTGTTACTCTATGTTTCTTAAAAATTTCATGTCGATTACCAACATGTATTTCACTAAATTCAAGACTTTAAAGCCGTTTTCTTGAGTTGTAACACTATTGATGTAAATGAGCGATATGATTTAAGTACCTGCAGTCCCCCCACACAGTACTCCATAATCATGTACATCTTTTGTTTTTCTTCATTGTACAAAACGTCCAAGAGCGCTACCACATTTTTGTGCTGTAGATTTCGCAGCAATTGTATTTCTCGCTGCACATTTTGCTCCCCATTAGGAATGCGTCTCAATTTTCGCTTCGTTAATATCTTCACTGCCCGCCGGCAAAGATTTTCGGAGTCCAGCACTTCTTTCACTTTTCCATACGAACCCTCACCCAGCACATCACCCATTACATACTTTCCAACCATTTTAATTTCTTTCTTTTTCTTTTGATAGATTATCTCTGCACTGTCAACTCGATTGAAGAACATATTTCCTATATCCAATGTTGTCAAATCGAGCGCATCAATTTGTTCACTGTCTAGCCACGTTACCTGTGGATTTGGTTGTTCACTCAGTAATTCTTTAGCTTCACTAGCAGCCACAAAATTGGCTACTCCAACATCGCTACATTCTATGTCGGTATCTTCGTATGTCTCTTCCGGATTGGACAGTGCATCGTAGTGAAAGTTCTTATTAGCCAAAAGAACTGACACTTCGCCATCCGTGGTCTCTACATCCATTTTTGTTATGTTAGCCTCGTTAATTACTTGCAATTTCTGGTGGTTTGCCAACTGCTTGGTGCCCAAAGGTGGCATTAAAATGCTATTATTGATAGTCACTGAGCTCGTGGTAGAGGCCAACAGGGACTCCCCTACGTTACTTTTCTTGATATTATTGTTGTTAATGATGCTACATTCAGTTGTGGATTGCTGTTTTATTTGTATTTCCATGGCAAGTGTGCAGCCAATGATTAGTTGACACCCCCGCGCGTTAACCATAGGGTATACATATGTAGGTTTCGTTTTTTTTTTTTAATTTCAGGACTAGAATTGGATACACAGTCGTTTGAAGGTTAGACGCTTTTTTTAATGCGATTTCTTTTGGTTTCCTTTAAAACCATGCGCTCCACTTACGTATGCAGAGCGCCACAACCAGCTTACATTTTAGCTAAATTGTTGTATTTGTGTATCCTTTGTGTTGCTCCAGGAACTACTCTACTTCGTACATGCGCCACAATCAGGTGATTTAGAAGTGAAGAGAGATGGAGTTTCAACTTGCACTACCCGTTGGTATATATATTTAGGTAATTTTCTCGAGCGTTTAGCAATCATGCATAAATCTTATCATAAGCAGAGGGGTGCCGTGCACCACTTCAGACAGTTCCATCACCTTGAAAGTATACTTAGTGTTCCTATTATGCGTTTTGTATTTCTATGTAAGTATTTATCTAAACTCCTGGTTAGCAGCAGCTATTTGTCATTTAAATAATTGCACAATTTATTACAAAATTTTTATTTGATTAGTTTTTTAGCCACTAAAATTTTCTGCTATGCCTGCTGATCGTAATTTCATTTTTTCATCAACATACTAATCGCGTTGCCAACTATGAGGAAGAATTGCGGACCGAAACAAAATAGGCGCAAGCGGCATTTCACATGTGGAGAGTAAAAAAATTGGAGAGTAAAACACCAAATTATTAAATTATTTAACATATGTATGTAAATACATATGTATGCATGACAATATCTAATAATTAATTATGAATGTAAAAAATTAAATCAACTTTACTATAAAGATATTTGCATCCCATACTGTGAAATATAATTTCAAGCTCCTTGTTGTTTATACACTCACACCTGATTTACATGATTCAAGTACATGAACGAAAGACACAAGATCACGCCTTCCCGAAAGAAAGAAAAAAGTTATTTATGTGTGCACACGTTGTCACAAGCGAAAATTAAGAAAATTGCAGTAAAAAGCCACTACCAAATTGTAAACAACGAACAAATGTAAACAAACGGCTAATGTCAAAGTCGCCCAACTTTCTTCCTAAATGCGATTATAACGGGCGATCTTGTATTTTTGGTTCATGATTCAAGTACTTTAAAGCAATTCTTGCTCATACTCTTTTGTGTTTTCTATTTGCTTTAACACGTTGAATTCTTTAAATGGGAATCAACGAAAATGTCAAAAGCAAGCAAGAAAGTTGAAACGACTTGACGGTATAGACGCATGTGTACTCGTCCCTTTTCTTCTCACCCGCTCTATTCCACATGCGAGCAGAATTGAATTCAATACTTGAACTGTGTAAAAGCAGTCTCAGTTTTTACCGGAAACGAAAAAAGTAAAGATATGCACATACAGTCGTGGACTAATGTTTCCGGAGTTACAAAAAGCATGGTCACATTAGGAGTCTTCACCTAAAGTAATAAAGTGATAAATTGCTTAAATTTATCAGTTTATCCGCATTCTTTCATAAACGCACTTTGGTAAATAATTTCATAAAATTGTTTATTAGCCGTCATCGATTCGCCAACAGTTAGCGAGTGGCGAAACGAACGAACTCAATGGTCGCGTTCATAAGACGTAGCTGTTTAGCTCATCTGCTACGAAACTGCTGGCAACTGTTGAACCCAACAATTACGTCTTAGAAACGGACTGATGAATATGCTGCCAAATGAACAGCTGATAAATGTAAACAAATGAAATTGGAACAAATAGAGATAGTTGCGCCGATACTATTTAGAATTCAACGCTGAGCGGCCACCGTGTTGAAAAAATCGTTCAATGTTACAATGAATTACACAGTGTAAAATTATATAGCAAACATCTTAAAAACATATATTTAGAAACGTAGTATTATTATAAAATATTTTAGTTACTTTATCACGTCAGTAATATAAAATAT